ACTCTTTCCACTGCCGCTTGTTTAGCCTTCTGTGATAATAATAATGATAATAGTAGTTATGGTTTATTGGGAAAGATGGTGTTTACACACTCTCTCGTTTAATTTTCACATGGCCCCTATGAGGTAGGTACTATATCTCCATTTTACAGACAGGAAACTCAGACTCAGAGAAGTTATGTGAATTGACCACACTGCAGTTATGGGAATTAGAACCAGGTTAGAACCAGGATTCAAAACTAAGTCCAGAGAATCAGTCCCTGGACTATTTTGATGAACCCTGAATGAAAATTAAGGGAGAGGGGAAGGTAGCCACTGAAAATACACAGTGGCCCATAATTATTGCTCCATAAATAGCTAGAAAGACGCACAAACTTCCCAAAGATAACCTTGATCCCCAGCCAGTTCTAGGGACTCTACGCCAGCAGGAGGTCTTCCCAACTAGACCATAAGCCCCCAGGGGCAGAGACGCGTGCGTGTCTTACTCATCACCAACGTGGTGCCCGGGCTCAGCGCCTGTCTGTGCTGCGGGAAAGTACAGGGTGGGAATCGGCAGGCCTGGGTTCTAGCCCTTGTTTTGCTACCGTCTTCCTGTGGAACTCTGCAAAGTCACCACCTCTTTCTGGGCCTCAGTTTCCTTCGTCCAAGTTCCTCCCGGTTCTAATATTTACTGATTTTTAAAAAGGTTGCGACTTCCGGGGACCCTAGAGAACCCACTTCCAGTGGGATACGCCTCCTCAGAGGGCTCGGTGGTGTCTCAGGGCCGTGTTTCCCGCCCGACCCCTGCCCTGTCCCTAGTACCTGCTCCAGCCCCTCCAGCCCCGCCTCTCTGGGTCTCCTGTCACTGTACAGAATGCCTAAGCCAACAACCGCCTGGTGACCTCACCACAACCCCTGCTTGTCAGAAAGCTGCCCGGCCTTTGTTTGGCTTGCAGGCTCCCTGACTTTGGTGTGGAGATCACAGGTCCCAGCACAATAGCCATTGTCTTCTCAGTAACGCCCCTAACCCCAGCCACGCCCCCCGGGAGCTCCCTGCTCCAGCTCCACGGATTACTACTGCACAGGGGTACGTTACTTTTCCGTCAGGCCAGTGTTCATCTGGAGGTTTCTCTGCCTCTCAAGAGTAACCCCAACTTTCTTCCCGTGTGGCTGAGCCCTCCCCTTCTGTGGCAATGGGACCCAGAGAAGCTCCCCTCCCTGGCCCCCCAGGCTTCGCGCTGGACAGTAGCAGGCTCCCAGAGACACTTGAAGGGGTCATGCTGGGCGGATGGGGTGCAGTGTGGAACAGATGCTTGGAGACGGCCCAGCTGCTGGCTCTGAGCCTGTGCCCCCAGCACTTAGGTCAGCGCTCAGGTCTCAGGCCTCTCCCATCAGAAGGGCAACCAGCAGGCGAGGGGACGAGCAGTTTCAGAACCCTCTGCCGACTTAGAAATGGTGCTCGGCTCTCCTTCTGCAAACCCTTCCCCGGAGCAGGTAGCAGACTGTGCCACAGTCTGTCTACAAAGGCACCAAACCGACCTCAGTAAACACATCCACTCCGGGAAGCCAGCTTTCCTGGGAGGACGATGCCCCAGGGGAAGACGTACTCATCCCATCCCCAGCCTATGCCCGACGCAGCCCTCCGCCTAGGGGGGTGCTTTCCCACCTGGAAGGTGTAGGATTCCATCCTGACAAGCCCACAGCCCAGAGCAGAGGCACCTAATCCTGGCCGGGGCCTGGCACACGGCAGCACACATAGGTACTCAACCACTTTGGGCCAACTCATCAACGCCAAGATTTCAAGTGACCCGCCCCGCCCTAATTCTGGCGGAGCACAGATGCCAACAAGCAGAGTGGCCCTTCCCCCGAGGGCCCTGGGCTCCTCCCACTGCAGCTGGACAGAGCCCTGGGGGTGCACCTGGATGGGGCGGAGGGGCAACCCCTCTGCCTGCGGCGTGGACCGGGCACACTCACGAGGCAGCCTGCTCCGTCTCATCCGGTGGCGGCCCTGACCCGCTGAGTCAGCAGCCGCAAGGGCAGGAGAGAGGAGCCTGGAGAACGAGGCGGGTGGAGGGCGCCCCGGAGGCCGAACAAGGAGTCAGAGCAAACCCAACTAGAGCCACACGCTCTTCTCACGAGAATATTCCAGCAGCAGGAGGAGGCCAGCCCTAGGACCATCCAAAAGCACTGCCTCCTCTGAGATACCCTGAGAGCTGTGGGGAGAAGCCGGAGGGTCGGGTCGCCGAGGCGTTGGGGCCCGGCTTACCTGGCAGCTTGTTGGGAGGGGAGGTGCTGGGCTGGTGGGGAGGGGAGCCGTGGGAGAGCAGCGGGTTCAGGCCGTGCGTCTGGCTGGAGCTGTAGGCGTCCATGGCCAGCTTCTGCCGGAATGCCTCCTCCTTCCTGCGGTTCGCGAACCAGTTGTAGACGCGGACCTCAGTGACCAGGTTGGAGCCCAGGCCGTGGGCCTTGGAGGGGGAGACACCCCGCTGCAAACATTCTGCCCTGAGAACAGGAGGGAGGGGAGGTGGTGAGCAAGGGCGGCCCGGGGCCGGCCCGCCGGCGTCTTGCCCC